TAATTCATTTAAACTCATTTTTAATTCATTTTAACTCATTTTAATTCATTTTTAATCCATTTAAACTCATTTTAATTCATTTAAATTCATTTTTAATCCATTTAAACTCATTTTAATTCATTTTTAATCCATTTAAACTCATTTTAATTCATTTTAATTCATTTAAACTCATTTTTAATTCATTTTAACTCATTTTAATTCATTTTTAATCCATTTAAACTCATTTTAATTCATTTAAGTTCATTTTAATTCATTTAAATTCATTTTAATTCATTTAAACTCATTTTTAATTCATTTAAATTCATTTAAATTCATTTTAATTCATTTTAATTCATTTAAATTCATTAAATTTCATTAAATTTCATTTAAATTCATTTTAATTCCTTAAATTTCATTTAAATTCCTTAAATTCGTTCAATTCCGTTTTGCTGCTCGCCCGCCAGCCCGGTGGTCCGGCGTGGCGGCGCAGCGGAGTGTCTTCTTTGAATTCTTTGAATTCCGTTCAAATTCCTTCGAATTCCTTCAAATTTCTTTTAAATTTCTTTTAAATTCTTTTTAAATTCATTTTAAATTACTTTGAATTCAATTTGAATTCAATTTGAATTCAAATTAATTCAATTTGAAGTCCAATCCTTCGAATTCAACTTCGAGCTGAACAGCCCGCGGCGCGCGCTGCGGTGTATCGGCAGCTCCGCTGCAGCAGCAGCGCCGCCCGCCTTCGCCGCCCACTTTTCTTCTTCACTTTTTTTCTTCTTTTGGACTTTCGACAACCTGATTGGAATTAAATTCGAAATTCAACTCCAAATAAAGCTCTTGGGAGCAAAACTCGCGGCGGATCGCCGCGGAAGCAGCAGCAGCAGCTGCTGCTGCGCTGCTGCTGCTGCTGCTGGTCTTCTCAGCAGCAAGACTGTAGACATTGCTTCGACTTTTTCCTCAAACTTCTTTTATTTCCAACTTAACTTCCAAATAAACTTTTAAATAAACTTTTAAATAAACTTTTAAATAAACTTTTAAATAAACTTTTAACTAAACTTCCTTCCGCCTTCCCCATGCGGCGGCCCCCCGAAGTCTTCGCCGAAAGCTCCGAAGAAGACCAACTCGCGGCTCTCTTTCCAGACACCTGGCGCGACTTCGCGGCTTCTCTTCGCCGCCGCCCGGGGCCCCCAAACGCCTCCCAAGAGGCCCCACAAAACCCCTTCGGGGGGGCCCCGGGGGGCCCCCCGGGGGGCCCCTGCTTTTCGGGAAGGGCTGGAGAAGGCGAGGAGTGTACGTACACTGCAGTGGGGGAGGTGCGGGAGCTGGGAGAAGCAGCAGCAGCAGCAGATCAGTTTGTGCTGCTGAGTTCTGCTGCTGACGGAGAAGCAGCAGCAGCAGCTGCTGCTGCTGCTGCTGCTGCTGCTTTCCCGCTGCTGTTTCCTCCGCAAGAAGAATTCAGCAAAGCCAAAGAAAGTGAAAAGGATTTTTTAAATGAAAAAAGCCGCAACACCTGCAGCAAATTCAACATACCTCTTCTTCCTTTACAGAACATCAACAGCAGCAGCAGCAGCAGCAGCAGCAGCAGCAGCAGCAGCAGCAGCACGAATGGACCACTGGTCATTCCTTTCCCAGCTGGAGAAAGCAGAAGCGAATTTGAAGCTGCTGAAAGTGCAGAAGAAGAAAAACAAGACACGGCTACTGCAGCAGCAGCAACAACAGCAGCAGCAGCAGCAGCAGCAACAGCAGCAGCAGCCGCAACAGCGGCAACAGCAGCAGCAGCAGCAGCAGCAGCAGCAGCAGCAACTGGAAATGAACCTGAAAGTGCATTCAGCTTTTGCTTAATGAGCGAAAACAAAAAAAAAAATAAAAGAAGAACTTTGGAGGCCCCTCGCAGCCACGACGTTTATGCCAAGCTAACTGTTGCAAGTAAGCTAATTAATTAATAGCTAGCTAGCTAGCTAGCTAGCTAGTTGATTGATAGCTAGCTAGCTAGCTAGCTAGCTAGCTAGCTAGCTAGCTGGATAGATAGATAGCTAACTGTGTGGCTATGTGGTTCGCTAGATGAAACGATGGACGAATTTGTTGATGGGTAGGTTTATTCACAGCTAGCTGGCTAGCTAGCTGGCTAGCTAGCTAGCTGGCTAGCTAGCTGGCTAGCTAGCTAGCTAGCTAGCTGGCTAGCTAGCTGGCTAGCTAGCTGGCTAGCTAGCTAGCTAGCTAGCTAGCCAGCTAGAGATCTTCGTACATATATGTAAACGTAGCTGGAACAACTAGCTAAGAAGACAGATCGCATCAGCTAGCTCTCTAGCTAGCTAGCTCTCTAGCTAGCTAGCTAGCTAGCTAGCTAGCCAGCTAGCTAGCTAGCTAGCCAGCTAGCTGGCTAGCCGTAGTTCTCGGCTTGGTTGTCGGAGGCGAAAGAATTGTTTTTGGGAAATGAGAATTGCAAGTTGGAAATAAAACAAAATGCGTTTTATTTATTATTTATTATTTATTATTCATTTACTATTTATTTTAATTCAATTAATTAAATTAATTAATTAATTGAATTATTTATTTATTTATTTATTTATTTATTTATTTATTTATTTATTTATTTATTTATTTATTTATTTATTTATGTATTTATTTATTTATTTATTTATTTATTTGCTGCAGTTCAAAGACAAGCAGCAGTGGAGTCTGGCGGGCGGCGTTTGCTGTCTGCTGCTGCTGCTGGTTTTTTGTGTTTTGGAATTTCTTGTTTTGGAAAAACTGAAAAAGAAAAAAATGAAGAAATAAAAAAAGAAATCCAAAGAATCTGCAGCAAGCGGCGAGCAGCAGGCTCTGCTGCTGCTGCTGCTGCTGCTGCTGCTGCTGCTGCTGGCAGCAGCAGCAGCAGCAGCAGCAAAAAGCGCTACGAGTGCGACTTGCTGCTCTGCTTTCTTTGCCTCTTCAAGGAAATCAAAAGACAAAAAAAACAAAAAGAGATTTTCAAAAACAAACTTTCCAAACTGCAGCAGCTCATTCGCGTGCTGCAGCAGCTCAGAAGCGAGATCCGCTTCAGCAGCAGCAGCAGCAGCAGCAGCAGCAGCGGCAGCAGCAGCAGCAGCAGCAGCAGCAGCAGCAAGCAGCTCTGCAGTTCCGAGGTGGGTGCCAGTTTGAATTGCAATTCAAATTCGAATTTTTATTCGGGCAAAGAAGAGCTCGTCAGTGCAGCAAAAGTTTGCTTAAGAATCAGCAGCAGCAGCAGCAGCAGCAGCAGCAGCAGCAGCAGCAGCAGCAGCAGCAGCAGCAAAAAGGAAAGCGGAAGTCTTCAGCAGCAGCTTTCGGGCTTTTTGGGGGCTGACGAGTTGCAGCAGTGAGGCCATTTAATTAAATGTAATAATTCTAATTTAAAATAAAAATAATAATTTGAAATAAAAATAATAATTTAAAATAATAATTATAATTCAAATAATAATTCAAAATAATAATTATAATTCAAATAATAATTATAATTCAAATAGTCTCAAGAGTTTTCAAGTGAGCTTTAATTGCAAATTTAATTTATTTTTAATTCATTTTCTTCACTTTGTTTCAACTTTTTTTCTCCCCAAAACCCTCGTTTAGGGTTTAGGGTTTAGGGTTTAGGGTTTAGGGTTTAGGGTTTAGGGTTTAGGGTTTAGGGTTTAATTACTTTTTAATAAATTGAATTTTTATTTTTTTTTTAATTTCAGATTTTCCGTCGAAACGCCGCAGGGAGAAACGGCTTTGCGTCTTTTGCCCTTCATCGAATATTTGCTGGTTTGTTTTATTCAATTAATTTGTTTATTAATTTAATTTAATTTAATTTATTTAATTTAATTAATTCATTTTAATTCAAATTAATTAATTTAATTAATTTAATTAATTTAATTTAATTTAAATTAATTTAGTTTAATTTAATTTAATTTAATTAATTTAATTAATTTAATTTATTTTATTTTTTATTTCAGGAAAAAAGAAAAGGTCTGGTTGCCGATCTCAAAGACTGCCGGCAGTCGTTGGAGCGTCTGGAGGAAAAAGTGAATTTTAAAATGGAAATTAATTTAATTTATTTTAATTAATTTAATTAAATTAATTTAATTTATTTTAATTAATTTAATTAAATTAATTTAATTAATTTGATTTAATTAATTTAATTTAATTAATTTTGCTTCATTTTGAATAATTTGATTTAATTTTTTTAATCGAGTTAAATTCGTCGGATTTACTTTAATTGATTTAGTTGATTTGACTAACTCAATATATTTAATGTGGCTGGCTTAATTATTTAATTTAATTCAATTATAATTAATTTATCTCAATTAAATTGCTTTTTTTAAATACTTTATTATTTCATTTAATTTAATTAATTAGATTTAATTAAACTGCTCGCTTTATTATTTATTTCATTTTGCCCAACGAAGCAAACAAACCAATGACTGAAAGAATCAATTAATTAATGAATTAATTTTGTTATATTTTTTATTTATTTATTTATTTATTTATTTATTTATTTATTTATTTATTTATTTATTTATTTATTTGTTTATTCAGGTGGGGCTTTGCCGGCAGCTGCAGCGGCAGCACTTGGTGGAAAGTGCCTCTCGGCTTTTGAACATTCGAAGTTTATTTTCTTTATTTCTTTTTTTCGAAAACTTCTCCGAAATCTGCAGAGCCCAGTCCGCACTGCCACATGCCATTAATGCCATTAATAAATGCCATTAACAAATGCCATTTAATTTGTGCCATTTAATTAATGCCATTTAATTAATGCCATTTAATTAATGCCATTTAATTAATGCCATTTAATTAATGCCATTTAATTAATGCCATTAACAAATGCCATTAACAAATGCCATTAACAAATGCCATTTAATTAATGCCATTTGCCAGTAACAATCATAAACTGCCATATGCCATTAACAAATGCCATTAACAAATGCCATTTGCCAGTAACAGAAATAAACAAACACCAAATGCCATTAACAAATGCCATTAACAAATGCCATTAACAAATGCCATTTGCCAGTAACAACCATAAAAAGGTGGCATTTAGTTATGCCATTTGCCAGTAACAGTAATTAACAAATGCCACTTATTTAATGCCATTTGCCAGTAACAATAATAAACAAATGCCACTTGCCAGTAACAGGAATAAACAAATGCCATTCAGTTAATGCAGTCATTAACAAATGCCATTAACAAATGCCATTTGCCAGTAACAGAAATAAACAAATGCCATTTAGTTAATTCAGGAATAAACAAATGCCATTTGTCAGTAACAGTAATTAATAAGTGCCATTTAATTAATGCCATTTGCCATTAACAGTCAAAACAAATGCCATTTGCTGTTTATTTAAACTGGCAAAGAAATGCCACTTAGTCAAATTCGGCATTTATTTTCCATTTAATTTGAATTAACTGTTTGAATTAATTCTTAGATTTAATCAATTAGATTAATTAATTAAATTAATTAATTTAATTAATTAAATTAAGTAATTAAATTAATTAAATTAATTAATTTAATTAATTAATTTAAATTAATTAATTAATTAATTAATTAATTAATTAATTAATTAATTAATTAATTATTTGATTTATTATTTGAATTCAGAAATGAACTTTTCGCGTTTTGTTTTTTTCTGCTGGTGAGCCACGACGGGAAGACCGCCAGCTGGTCCGCCGTCGAGGCCATGCTCGAGTGCCGGGTGAGTTCCCACCTAGCTAGCTAGCTAGCTAGCTAGTTAGTTGGTTAGTTAGTTAGCTAGCTAGCTAGCTAGCTAGCTAGCTAGCTAGCTAGCTAGCTAGCTAGCTAGTTTGTTAGTTAGCTAGCTAGCTGGCTGCGTAGCTAGCTAGCTAACTAGCTATTTAGTTAGCAAGTTAGTTAGTTGGCTAGATAGCTAGCTAGCTGGCTGCGTAGCTAGCTAGCTAACTAGCTAGCCAGCTAGCTAGCTAGCTACATGTGCACAGCTGTGTAGCTAGCCAGCTAGCTAGACTGCTGCAGCGACGTAGCAGGCTAGCCAGCTGTTAGCCCGTTCAGCTAGCTAGCTAGCTAGCCAGCTAGCTAGCCGCACAGCTAGCCAGCCAGCTAGCTAGCCAGCCAGCTAGCTAGCTAGCTAGCTAGCTAGCTAGCTAGCCATATTGTGGGGTTTGCTGCGCAGGTCTTTCTGCTGGCCTGGCGGGCGCTGCGGCTGGCTTTGGTGGCTTTTCACTTTTTGAAAATAATTTCCGACGAACTTTCCGCCTTTGGAGTTTCGCCTTCGCTGCGCGAATTCCAAATCAAGGGACTTTCCAGCAGCAGCAGCAGCAGCAGCAGCAGCAGCAGCAGCAGCAGCAGCAGCAGCAGCAGCGACGGCAGCAGCAGCAGCAGCAGCAGCAGCGATGGCAGCAGCAGCAGCAGCAGCAGCAGCAGCAGCAGCAGCAACAACGGCAGCAGCAGCAGCAGCAACAACAACGGCAGCAGCAGCGACAGCAGCAGCAGCAGCAGCAGCAGCAGCAGCAGCAGCAGCAGCTTCAGCGAGGCGGAGCTGCGGGAGCTGCTGCGGGGCGAAGTGGCAGCAGCAAAGCAGCAAAAGAAAGCCGAAGAACTTTCGCTTTCGCCGCGGCTGTCTTCGCTGCTGCTGCTCTTCGTGGCCCACGCGCTGCAGCTGTGCGCAGCACACGACGCAGCAAAGAGGCGCAGCAGCAGCAGCAGCAGCAGCAGCAGCA